TCACTAGAAAGCGGGAAAAGAGTTTTTCCTTACTCTGGCACATATAAAGAAATCAAGTTTTCTGCTTCAGCGTTAGAAATTGTTAATCGAAGTAACCGGATATTTCTTGGGAAGCCATACGCGCTGCTGCTATTATTGGACCGTCATAGAAATTATCGAGCATCGAAGGATTGAAGCACAGCATTTACGCAGATGACATTACCATCTAGTGCACAGGTGGAAGTGAGGGGCAGATTGAAAGCGCCCTGCAAGAGGCGATTGACACCGTCGAAAAGTACCTTCGTCCTTCTGGGCTCTAGAGCTCCTCGAGTAAGTCAGAACTTTTACTGTATCGTTCTACACGCCGGAGACCGAAGCCCAGAGGATGGAAGCTGTTAAACCAGATAGACATCCACCTCCGTACAAATCAAGGGGATGCCATCCAGAGGGTCGACTCCAAAGTCCTGGGCATGCTGATAGAGTCTACCGGCGCTAACAGCAAATCTATAGCCAAGTTAACTTGGAAAACAGACAGTGTGGTGCACCTCATACGCAGAGTGGCTAATAAAAGAAATGGGATCAAGGAAGACAACCACATCAGGTTGATGCATGCATTTGTTTTAAGCCATTTCACGTACGAGGCAGCAATGCACAACTGGTCTGGAGCAGAGTCCGAGACACTGAATGTGGTCCTCAGGAAAGTTATCAAGAAGGTCCTGGGCCTACCCGTACATATCAGCACCGAGCGTCTACTTGAGCTTGGTATTCACAACATGCTTGAAGAAATAGCAGAAGCCCAAGAGAGAGCACAGTTTGCAAGGTTATCTACAACACGGTCGGGGAGAATGATCCTGCAGGAGCTGGGCCAACACCCAATGGCAATTAGACGCAATTACAACGATATTCCCGACAACATCAGGAAAAATACCACGGTATCTCCTATACCACGAAACATGCATGCGTCCAGAACACAACAAGGGCCACGACTATACTTCGTCAAGTCTTAAACGAGGAACGAGGGGTCGTATTTGTTGACGCGGCTTCCTACGCCAATGGGAAAGCTTTTGTGGCAGTGGTGGTCGATGGGGCTGGCCGTGTCGTCAATTCAGCGACGGTCAGGACGAAAGACCAAATCATTGCGGAACAGGTGGCCATTGCCTTAGCACTCAAGATAGAAAACATTGAAGTCATCTACAGTGATTCTATGGCAGCGCAAAGGGGACGGTCTCAGAACAAACGCTGAGAATACTACATGGCAAGAGCATAACGCATAATCTTCTGAGTTGGTTCCCAGCTCAACTTCGACAAATCAACGACTCCCCTCCCAATCTCAATGAAGCAGCACACGAGGCGGCGCGAGAACTCTCCAACCGCGCCTCCCCGGGGATGCGTTCTACCGGTGAAGGGGATAACCGGGAAACTCTTACAACATATAACGAGCTCACTAAACATTTCTACCTGTCTAGAAGGATTTTCCCTCCATCTCACAAAAATCTAACTCGGCCCCAAGCACTTACATTAAGGCTTTTGCAAACGTGGATGTACCCTACTTTGAAAATGTTACACATCATGTACCCTGACCTATACCCAAGTAATATTTGCCCACATTGTGGGGAAATCGCTTCATTAGAACATATGCTCTGGCAGTGTACCAAATCCGCTCATTTATCGAACATCACATCTGCCAGATGGGAGGCGGCCATCCGCAGCTCGTCCTTGGCAGATCAGCTCTGGGCTGTCCACCAAGCCCGCGAGGCGGCTGAGGAGCTCGGCATCTCAGGCCCCACGTGGGAGCTGCCCGCAACACAGCGACCCGTGTTTTGGAGGAACAAATAAAAGTTTATCCAATCCAATTGCTATGTTGGCACTGACCGAAAAGGTGAATATGTAGGCACTGGATCGCGCGTTCAGAATTCAGTCAAGGGCGTCTTTACTTGGCTTTCGCTGGACCACGACATAAGGGAAGAAAAAGAAGCAGGGAATAATATCGAACACCGGATATATTGGCGCGCTGCAGTGCGACGAAGCCTGACAGAGATTTAGAAATAGCTTTTGCGAACAAATTGCCTCATTCGAGGTCAGACTTCCCACTTGCGTGTTTTTCTTTGTTTTCTATTATTTGCTCCTGCAGCGGCATTTTTTCACGTTCTTCTGAGAACTGAGTGGTTTACGTCGCCCAATATATAGGATGCGCGAATCTCTAAACTCCGTATTTCCGTCCCGGACGTTATGGCAGTGCAAGTCCTAAAGAAACTTTAATGGGGAGTTTTTAAAATTGCACCGCCCCCTTCTTTTTACAGCAACTTTCGGTAACAACGACAAGAAAAATCTGGACACTTTACTATGTGAATTTGGCTTCCTTTTGTGCTTGTTGTGACAGCACTGCCAGGGAATCTTATGTTTTCTGCAACTCAAGTATAATGATACGCAAACCGAAAGCCACACTAAAGAACGCAAGAAGGCACGCAAAAGAGCGTGAGCAGCATGTCGACTATAGTGACACATAGAGACATGCACCTAGCTGTGGACTATCTTAACACTGTCTGCATTTCGCACGCTTCACCAACGTAATCCGCTATCGCTGGGATAACTCATCAACGATATAGAAGTACAGCAAGGAATTGACGTCGCCCGCGGTATTCTCTCTACTATTGTCTTCCTCGCTTTTTTTTCTGAGTTAGTTTTTGCGCGAAGTTTCGTTTTGAAATGTTTCCTTCTACACCTCGAAAGTAAAAGGTAAAATTTTTTTCCCGACAAGTGTGACTGTCGCATGCCTTTCACAGCTTCAATCGCAGCTGTTCGCAGCGCGACGACGATTCGCAAGTGAACGTCCGAGCTGTATATGTATAACGAGACCGCTGGCATCGGAAAGCGAAAAAAGCACTGTAGGGTGTAATCAAAACACGAGCCAGGGAAATGACAACGCCTAAGCGGCCGTCAATTTGCCAAGTGAACTCTGTTTGGCTGCCTTCGCGCACACACACACACACACACAACACACACACACACACACACACACACACACACACGCGCACACACACACACACACACACACGCACGCACACACACACACACACACACACACACAGACACACACACACACGTGCGTGCGTACGTGCGTGCGTGCGTGCGTGTGTGTGTGTGTGTGTGTCACGAGAAAGATACGTCGCAGACAGATAAGCCAGGCCAAGTGACGCGTCATGGCACATTTAGGTACCCTAATCTCCCTTCCTTTTCTTCTCTAAAGTATATTTCTGGGCTCACTGTCACGTTCTACCGCCCAGACATCGGCAGCTACAATGTTTTCAACGCAAAAGTCTGGGCAGGTTGATGGGCAGGTTGAACTTAACAAGAGCCAAGCTACAAGTTAGAGACAGCGCTCAGCTTGTTTCTTCTGTCTATACTTTTTGGGCTTGTTGCCTTCCGCTTGCTAAGAAGTTGAGCTACAATATAACTTGTCAGCCCCCCCCCCCCCCCCCCCCGTGCAGGGTCTCCTAAAGTCAAACACGTGCTTATGGTTAGTATGGTTAGTCTCTACCCTCCTCCTCAAGAGTTCCTCTTTGTCACTCCCCCCTCCCCTTTCCGCTTCCTATGTCAAGCGGAACACATAATCGCTCAGCTCGTCGTCCCCGGAGCGGAAGCTATCTGCTTCGTTGTTGCAGATTTGCTTCGTTGTTACAGAGAATTGCGGAAGCGGGAACAGGTGCGAGCAACCAATCAGAGAACGACGGTACCCGCCATTGCGTGACGCCATTTCGCAATAACAGCCATGGGTCGTGTGTGCAGGGGCTTAGGGCTCTCTGCTAAGCCTCCCATAGGTCAAACTGACAATGAATTTTAGGCGACTGCACCTCTAATGGGTACTCTCATGGTTCAGTTGGTACTTCATTTCTGAGAACTGGCTAACCTCCCTGGCCTTCCTCCTTCTCTCCTCCTCCTCCTCCTCAGAAGAAGAAGAAAAAGAAGAACACGTTTGAGTGTCCGATAATTTTCGTTTCCACGTATTCCTTAGGTGTCATCCAAGTCAAAACTGACTACTTTTCGCAACACACTTTGTCCATAATGAATCGGAGAAAGTTCCGTTTAAATAATGGCTAATTAAAACGCAGCTGGGTGCGTTGCTCTATGATTTTATGCGCAATAGAAGCATGGTCTATAGTCCGTGAAACATGGAACACAAGTGCAGGAGTGTGCTTGTTTAACACCTATTTTTTAGCAAGTCTAATTTTAGCCAAAGGCTGCCGTGGTCGCGATGCATCCTACATGCATGTCGGAAAATACAGCCATCTTCCGCAGATCTGTTCTGAAGTGTCACAGTTCAGTTTGTTTTGACCAATAGGCATTGCCACGTGCTTATAACGCCATATATTTATCATATTCGTACAGAACAGTCACAGAAGAAAAAAACATCAAAACGCTGCCACCTCAAGATTGTTAGTGCTTTGTTGTGAGAACTATCTGAAAGCGTTCTCGTTTCTTTTTTTTTTTTTGCTAAATGAAAGGTATATATGGAGACGTTAGGCTCAATGCGTGGCGCTGGATACTCCACTTTTTGTCTTGCATAATAGTTGCAATCGCAAAGCAGTGAACAAGCGCAAAATAAACAAACAGACGTATGGACGAACACTCGTGCACTTAGTCCCACTTCTTCAACTGAAAAAAAAAAAAAAAGCGTCCAATCAAGTGAGAGCGTTTTTTTAGCTTCTCCAGGTGCGTGTAATAGACAGAGCAGGATGTCATAATGTGTTCTTATGGGTAACGATGAATTCAACCTGCATTAAGATCTCAAAATGGAAGTATACTAAAACAGTTCTTCAAAGCCATGTGAACACATACTCGGACACCAGCGGAGGCAGGCGGAAAGACGCTTCCTGCATGTCGGAAATAAGATATTTCAAGCAAAAGAAAGGAGACGAACATGGCAGGCAGTGGCGGAGAAGCCATGAAGAAAAAAAAAGGGCTCGGGTTTCGGGATTGTGGAACCACAAACCGACCGTTCTGCACAGTGCAGTAACACTCACCCTCTTCCAGTGCAGGGTGTCCGAGTGCAGCGCTAGGTTGCAGGCCAGGTAGCTGCCGGCCAACAGGACTCCAGCGACGACGCTGTCGCGCATGCGCACCGGCACCAGTGCGTACGAGACGTACACGAGGAAGAGCGCGCACCACAGGTCTGACACGATGGCGCGCTCGGCAGCGCCGGGGTCGAGCAGAGACACGAGCGACACGAGCACTACGAACGAGCCGAGCACCAGGTAGCTGCACACGAGCAGGTGCACCTGGCGGAACGAGGTCTGCAGCGTAGTGTACACCAGCGCCAGGTAGAACACCAGAAGCGCGCCGAAGGCCGCGGCGCGGGCCGCGGGCGGCGGCTGCGCTGGTCGCTGAGACAGCGCCAGATCCAGAAGCGCCCCGAGGGCGCACAGCGCCGCCATGACGCCCAGAAGCGCGGTGAGGCTGCGCCGGTTCAGGTGCAGGAAGTACCGCTGGTAGAGCGAGTCGATGTCGTTGCGGTGCACGTGCCGGTACCAGCAGAAGTAGTAGCAGGACGTGCAACAGTCCATGGTGGTGACCGTGTGCACCGGAGTCTTGGTCTCGACGTACTCCCACGTCGTCTCCTTGTTGTTGTTGGCGCCGCCGGCCGAGTCGCTCGAGTCGGAAGCGCCCCCTCCGCCGCCACCACCGCCGGACGCCACCGCCATCTTGGTCCAGAGGACGTGCGGTCTGCAGTGAGGGAGAGAGATAAAGGTTAAAGGGCCAGTCAACAAGCTCCGACTTCTTTATTTACACCCCTGCCCATCCCCCCAAAGAAGTTCAGCAATATGTAGAGTAGACCGCGGCGATGACGTTTTCCGAATATTACAGCGCTGCGCGCCCGCCGCGAAAAGCCTCCATTTGGAAAAAAACAATTTCCGCGCTCCTTTCCTACGCCTGGCCAATCCTTTCACGCGCAGTGACGCGAAGTCGCCGCTTGGCGACTTGACGCAGCGCGCAGCTCGTCGATTGGTCTAAACCAGTCACGACGACGGGCTACGCCTTCCCCTGCCTGCGAAGAACAAGGGTGGCCAGACCACGCGAAAACTTGAAAGCATATGAAACCGATGTTCTAACTACTGTAACTTCCCTAATATAGTACGTATTCGCAAAATTCTTGTGGCAGCATGTTCACATAGCAAAGGTGCACATATTTCTTTTTCATAACAACTTTTAGGCCTTGGTGTTATTTACTGGCCCTTTAGGTGAAAAGCAGTCAGCTTAGCCAGACGAACAATAAACGCCTAGCTGCCCTCTGGGTAGGCGCTATATGGGAAGACAGAAAGGCAAGAAAAAAAGTAAGATAAATCGTTATATAAATTATATTAATACATGAAGTAAAATGTGCCAAAACCACGATATGATTCTGAGAGCCGCTGCAGTGTAGGGCTATGGCAATTTCGACCATATCATGTGTTCTTCAACATGCACTAACACCGCAGAGTGCACGGGCCTCCACCATTTTGTCACCTCCTTCGAAATACGACTGACGCGGCCGGCATTGCACGTGCGACTTGCGGGTCAGCAGCCCCGGCAGTCACCTGTTCCATAGCGGCTGTACGACCGAGGCTTAAAGGGGTTGTACATGAAAAAAAAATGAGGGGCCAGATGGTGGCTACGATGGCGCGACTGCCTAAGGTTGACTGAAACGCGCGCGAAGACAATAGCTGGGACACCCTCATTTATGTATTCCTATTTCTCTACCTGCATCCGTCAGCTCAGCGCAGAGTTGTGCAGCACGTGCCCCATCTGCATTGTTTCGTTCCTTGCGTTACCGAATCAAGCGCTGTCACCATGAAATCAGGACCAACTGTGAACAGCAAACTGAACAGGCTGGTACCTTTATGCAAGGCACCGATGACGTGTGAGGCAGGTGACGCAGCTTACTGCTGACTTGTGACCCTGTCAATCGTGCTGTCCTGAATTCAAACATAGTCAGCAATAGACAGAACAGACGACGCGAGTCACATACGTGGATGTTTCACGTTGTGAAATACTCTGTTTTTAGGCTACGAGACTGAACTAAATTTTGAAGCAGAGTGATATCGTAGTGTTATAATAACCGAAACAATAAGAACGTCTACGGTATGAGTTGCCCTATACGCAACAAACACTACTATTTCCTCGCACGTCTATTAGAAGATAATCATTGATGTCCTTGGTGTTTATATTTTTGGAGTTGAAGTTGAAGTTCATCTTCACTTCCTTTGTCAAAAAGGAAGGGACGAGACTAAAAGCCGCACAAGTGGCTTGACAAGGGACAAGGGTCCCAACTTTCTGAGGAGGTTGAGGATGTAACATTATTGAAAAACAAGCTTTCCCACACATACACCCTAAGAAATGATGATAACCAAAATTAACTAAAAAAACATGAAGACCGAATAAAACAAATAGAGATGATCAACTGATGACAATGAAGCTACAAAATGAGTCGATGCAATGAAACATCCCATATTTAGTCATGTGCAGCCTGGAAAAAGGAAGAAAAACAGGAAACAGAGGAAGAAAGGCAGGGAAGATTAACAGACCAGAATAATTTGTGCGATAGATACTTTGCCCTGAAGGAAGGTATGAGGGGGATTGATGGAAGAAAGAAGAACCGGAGAGTAAGCAGGCACACATGGCATTTCAGTCCGTGAGTTCAGTGCGTTCTTATTGCGAGCCTATATAAGTACGGAACTACGATTCAGGAATAAGCAGAGCGCGCAATCTATATGCCAAAAAATCAACGTTTGCAATTAGTTATATCATTCTTCCTAACCTATGTAGTGCTATTATTCCGAACCTATGTGCACAGTGTTTATTTTTCTGAGCTCAGTAGGAACGACCTTCAAAGGTTAAGCTCTCCCTGGCTTGGCAAGAGCAACTTCCCAGCAAAGGTTAGTTATGGCTGACAAAAATATCTGATCCATAGTCACTACAATCACCTGAGGGCACAGATGGATAATCGCGGAATACCCATCTGAGTCCTAAAAGCAAACAGGCTGGCATTTATCACTCATTGAACCAGAATAAAAGCCGTATCATGTATGCGTTGCCGAATGAAGAGAGAATGACGTGCTCTTACTGGAGCCCATCCAAACACTGTCTGGCAGGGATAGTGATAGGTGACAGTTTTGACTACAAAAATGCCCGCCTAACTCTGGTGACACACCAACTGCAGTCGCGCTAAAGTTCACCGTGCATATGGACATTCAGTGAGATCAGGGGCGGAATCGTGATGTTTAACACGTCTCTTGACGAACAAAGGTTCCTATAGTTTTAAATATGTAAGAAATTCCATGAACAACGTTTTCTCAAAGTGGGAAAACGCAATGGTAATCTAATAATAAAAAACAAAGCAATAGTCTGGTAGACTGTCCAATCAAGAATACATTGATATAAAAAGCATATGAAACGCTAAAAAAGAAAAGTCGCATTCGAGCCACCTGGCTGCGACGTATATTCCTTCCTTTCACTAATTCCAGCTGGAGTGCTGTCACCGGCAGATGATCTCGCTCAACTCAAAGCAGCTTAAACCTTCCTTTCTCTTATTTACTTTTCCCCGGAAAGAACTCACTTGTGCGTGTCAGGCGGTCCTGCGAAGCGGCTTGCGCCATAAGCCGAGCACATATGCTCAAAGCAAACGTGTCACATCAAAGCCTCGCGGACACTCGATTTTGTGCCGAACGATCGAGGGCGACGTTCGTGCAAACGAAACTGCGGGCCGGAGCTAGCCAAGCTATATATCGTAACGAACGCGGCCAGCAATTAGCGATGTGTTCTCGAAGGTGGCACGGACCGTCGAAAGACCACGCTAATAATAAGCAGGAGCCACGAGACAGTGCTCCGCAATATCATCAACGACGGAAGTGTTAGGAGCGAGCACGAGGCACACACGTCGCTCCACGGCCCCCGAATTCCGGTCCCGAAGAAGAGGCAACACCGACAGCATCTGCGTGTGGCAGCTCCTCTCACCTCGTCCTGTCGCGATCCATTCGCAGGCCGGCCGGGATTCAGCGCACGTTTGCCGAGTCGTCCTCGTCGTCGTCCAGATTGCCGTTCCCATTAGTCGGCGGCGCCGAACGGCGGACGCGTTGGCACGCCAACGACCGTAGTCCCCCTGACAGAGCACATATCGGCGGCGGCAGGCGCTGAAAGTGCGTGCCTTTCCCGCGCGCTAAGAGTGCAGCGTCGCGCCCGAGATGCGCTCACGAATCGTCGACGGTGCGACAACAAGGCTTCCGGCATTCAAACTGAGTCGTTGTCGGCGGCTGTCTCTTCCCTTGCGAAGTTTCGCTGAGGAGCACTCGCTTCGAATATCGCGGTACAATGAAGGGCACAGGCGAAAACGCCACTGCCTCGCAAATGTCCTCGTAACCGTGGCACAGCCGCTTTCGCGCAGCTTGGCGGCTCGAGTGACCGTCGCCGGTAGGCTAGCCCTGGTCCGTAGCTGTTCCTCGTGAAGAGCAAGGGAGGCAGAGAGGAGGAGGAGGCAACCGCGGGAGGCCGCGCGCTCTGCGTGCGTGCGTGTGTGGAACAATCCGAGCCAGTGCGTCTCCCAACACCTGCTGCTTGGTTGACGGCACCTGCTGCAGCTTCGTCGAGGACAACGCGCACGCCGCGAGCACACTAGTACGCCGCCGTCGCGCAGCATCGCCGCTAGCGTTGGCGACGTCGGCAGCGCTGCGACCAAGGCCCCGCGGGGATTACGCTCCCGCTGCGCGCTGGAGAGGAGGGTGGCGGCAGAGAGGCTTTGCCGCTGCCTGGCGAGGCTGTATCTCGAGGAGCACGCAAGAAATGGTTGTCGCACGAACGAATAGCCTGCTGTATTTGCCAAGAAAGCACCGTAGATGTGTGTACAACGTATACATGCACGCGCGACTCGTACAGCACCGTACAGATACGACACGATGATTCTGTCCTCGTTCGTCGCGACACTAAACGACCCTTGGGAAAGATTAGCGCTCGAGGAAACCTCCGCGCTGCGCCGGCAAGAATGCCCGCCGGCAAGGGAATGCAGCTATCTCGGAGGAATCACTGACGTTCAGCGTACAAGTGTGCGCCAGTGCATGAGCGATGACGTAACTGGAGTTGTTGTCGGCTCAGAGCGGTGCACGTAAGGGAACAGGAAATTAGACCAATGACGTTGCAATACGACATTGTCCCACTTTTGTCTATACACTGAATACTTTCTGTTGTTAGAGTGTTACTAAGTGTATACGAAGCAGAAAGTTCATGTAAAAGGTATTGCAGGGGCTATAGCGCCCTAAGGAAGCAGAGGACCGATCACAGAATACGTACACAAGTATAGGCTAGTAGCAGCGGCTTCGTTATCGCTTTACTTGTACACGTACAGTGCGGTTCACTGTTAGAGTGAACACTCGAACGAGAGATAAAATATAAGAAATATAGGGAGGTTATCTAGACTACCAACACGTGGAGAAAGGGGAATAAGAGAGTGAAATATAGAGAGAAGGAGAGTGGGAGATGCACATTGCACACCGCACACACACACACACACGCACAGTGCAGGGTTTCACAGGCGGTCACTAAGGGATGTTGCCTTCAGGAATTGTAGAAGGACTGTGTGACTTGCTGGGCTGATGCGCTATGAGACCACGCACTTGAGATCTTTTCCCGAGTAAAGGGACGATCATCTATTCTCCTCAAGGCACACTGGAGAGTCCAGCGATCTTGTTCAAAGTCGAGACGATGGCACAGGACGTGAAATGGTCAAGAATTTCCACGCAGTTAAAGTTATCAGAGTTGGGTGGGTGAGGCAGCCATACCAATGAGATAGCTGAAACATTTCGTAAAGGCTACGCTAATCCACAGCCAACACTTGAATGAGCATACATATAGCTTGGTACCTAACTGCAACTAGGCGCGGAAACGTCACTGGTGCACGGCGCTCTTTTGTCACATATGAGTCAGAATTGTCATTGTAAACTTCTGCGAGTCTAAGGCCCAGTGGTTTTTCAAGAGAGAAACATCCGGACATTTCTTGAACGTAAGTGATTCCTTTAAAAGAGAACCCGTCTTTACAACGCAGTAAAGTGAACAACAATATCAACCATACAAAACATTGGAGCCGACTATATTCTCATCTTCATGTGATGCTGTGCTTAAACGATCACCGTACTATCATACTAGAAAAAAAAAGCAAAAAAAATCTTTCAAAGTAGGGTTAGGTCAGCGTTCCGCACGACCAACATAAGGTTGTTTTCCTCCTTTCTTTTTTTCAAAGCAGGCTCAGTGGAGCTAGAAATATTAGCAAAGATGAATGACAGTTTTCGTTGCACCGGAAGACCTTGAACATGCGAGATCCTTAATCACGAAACACAAAAAAATCAGTAGTCGGTGAGTCAAATATGCCATTGTCGCTAATCATAAGATAACCTTACTTGCCACGACCTTAAGTTTATTTATCAAATGTTCAGTCATTAGATATTTCCAAACATTTCACTTTTTGTGCCGCGATGATTACCCCAGTCTTGCTACAATTTCATCATAAGAATGTGCATATAACTATCACGTTGGTAAACAAACTACCATCCAACCGTTATATGAGCCAAGTGTTCTTTTAACATTATTTACTTAAGTAAGGGAATAATAATTTTCTAAAGACTCCTTCTCTGAGATCGCATCCTGCGATAAACTACTGATTTCGGCACAGTGCATCCCTCTCTCACACCTTTCATTGGAGTCCTACAGCTGTGAGCAATAAGATGGGCAACACTGATAACTACCCTTTCAAACGCAGCTGGTAAGCGAAAAAGTATCCATAAATCTAGATGCTCAAAGCGAAATGTATCTATTGCAATTCAGTACGTCAAATTTATGTCGGTACATTACAAGTAATTATTGATTAAGCGTGACCTGGATGTTCACTGTTATATTGTTCATGAATGTACGTCGCCCAGTTTTCTTGCTCACGGTACATTCACCCGGTGGCAGCCCCTACTATGTAATGGATAAAGCTCGATGCCCATCGTGCTATACTGCCCATTGTTTTAGCTGGGACAAATAGAGCCAACGTTGGTACCGTTATTTAGCTTTCACGTCCTCGGGACATTTTCATTCAGTTAACTTAAGCCGTGGTAGCGCACTGGCGGTGGCGTCATGCTGAGTGCAAGGTGACAGGTTCAATGCCAGCTTTGAACTATGAACTATGAATTTCAGAGAAGAAAGCCTTCGTGCACCACGCACTCGTGGAAGCCTGTTCGAAATTAAACTGAGATCTACTACAACCGAGTACCTTATAATGACATGGGGTTTCCAGAGGGTAATTTTAAAAATCATACTCCCGGCAGCGTAAGATTGAATTACTTAGTTTACACCAAGCGTGGTCAGAAGTAGACGTATACGTAATAACTAAGCCAGACGCATAACAAGCGCAACATTTCGAAAAAAAACATACAAAAGAGCCCCTACACAAATACAAGTGTAACTTGTAGCGCTTGGTGCTTCTGCCATTTTTTTTCTTGTGTTTCGCACGCCACTGTTAATAGGCGCGCTTAAGATTGAACTTCTTCTAACAGCTTGTGGCGCCAAGCTCGAACCAGCAGCGGAGCTAGTGTTTCACTCAGCTACTTGTAAGTGTTTGTTATAGAAGAACCAAGTATGATTATCGGCTTGACTTTTTTTTTTCTCCAGTTTCGGTAGGTTCCCCACACTGCGCACGCTTTGCGTGGCTTTGGCGGGAGCATGTGGCGCGATTAGCTGTCACGGGATGTCGTGATTTCAGTCACATTGGTAGTTTCCCGTGATGTTACGTAATTTTTGTCACGTGGCTAGTTGTAGCGTGATGCTACGTGATTTTATCCGCGTGACTATATATAGATCTTACGTGGTTTTAGGCACGTGACTAGACGTTACGCAATGCTACCTGTTTTTTAGTCAGGACAGCAGTTACGTGACGTACTGCAGTTTTTACTCACGTGACTAGTTATGACGTGAAGTTACGTGATTTTTAGTCATGTGACCACTTGTTGCATAATGTGACGGTATTTTCGCTGACGTTGCAGGCTCGCCCACGAAATTTATTTGATTCTGTGCCTCGCTTTAACGGCTCCTGATGATATCTGTTCACACTATCAGGCACAACGAAAACCTTAAATGGCTACGTTGTTAAAAATAATAAAACCAATGAGCTTCGAGCAAAACGGAAGTGGCACATTATGAAATTCGGGAACGTTCAACAGCAAATTTAGACCGTTGGTCCTTTTAATTCTTTGATTTGTTACGGCAGCCGCATTTTGCTAGGGGCGAAATGCGAGCACACATTAAAAAACACCAGGGGGACAAAAATTATTCGGGAATATTTCATTACGGCGTGCTTCATAACCACATGAGCAACATGATATTTCAGTCCAGATTTTTTTATTACTAAACTTTGAGCGAGCATGAAAGCCTTCGCAGTGTGTAAACAAACACTTTAGTTACCAGAGCAAGTATTATGTTGTATAGACGCCTCATCATTGAACAGTTGCAAATTGTGCATCTTTCTCAAAAACTAAAGATGAAAAGTAAACTACCTTTTTTTATTCTTGATTTGTTAACGCTCCCAAATGAATTACCCATAAACCGCTGAAAGAATGGAACAAGAGAACACTTCTAAATTTTGGGCTGAATTCGCAAAACTGATTATTCGTTAGAGCGTTTGTTTTTTCAGCTCCGCTAATGATACGTCCCTCATTGTGGTTGATCGAAACATTCGTCTTCGGTACGACTAAAAAAATACGGGGCGCATTGACAAATACTCTTATCGCAGAAATTTTTCATGAAAACATATTCCTCTGTTCTTTAGCACCTGCTCGTGAACGGCTCAACGGACTGCCGAACACAGAAGCACGCTCCGGCAATGCATCACGCTCGTATAGTATTTTGCGTTTGTCCTCGTGCGCACTATACTCGTGAATGAATCACCACCACTTTTTCTGTTTTTTTTTTTTTTTTTTGTAGACTTCGGTTTCATGCAAAAGATGAACGCTCCAAGAAAAGGAGACACGTTGAACAAACTTAGTACTTGCGCGCTAATGTTTGCACGTAGATCAAGGTACTCATTAGAGAAACAGGAACAACAATTGGTGACGTCTATAGTCCAGTCGGAAACGTTCGCCGAT